AACGCGTCCCTTTGCACTTCGTGTGAAGGATGCTGCAGCGACTTACAGTTTTGACATATCCTGTTCTGTCATGGAAACTGAACAAAGACTTGCTCCATGGGATGACCTAGCTATAACATGCGATCTCTCTGACAAAATACAACAAGAAAGTGGCCGCCGCTAGTGTTATAAAACAATATTTTTTGAGATTGCTAGTCGTTACGAGACGGACAAAAGTTTTTTTACTGATGGAACGAAAGGTGCTGGCTATGCTGGCTGCGCTGCGGTTGGGCAGTCCTACCAACGTGTTAGACGAATTAATGCCAATGCATCTGTGTTCACTGCTGAGCTTCATGGACTCTTATTGATGGTAGATGAAATAATAAAAAAAATACAGATTATCTGTGATATTTACACACTCGCTCAGTTCCCTCCTTGCCCTTAACTCTGCAACATCCCGGAAGCCTCCCCTTCTTTCTCTGCATCGTGTTAAATTAACAAATGATATAAAGCAAAACATCACTATTCACTTTTGCTGGGTTCCTAGCCATATAGGAATACACGGCAATGAGGAAGCCGACCGAGCCGCAGGTGCCTGTGTAAACAGGTCCATTGAAATTCACACCTTCCCAGTGACAGACTATAGAACTACACTACGAAATAAAATCAAAGATTCCTGGCAAGTAGAGTGAAACTCTGATCCTCACAATAAGCTACATAGAGTTAAACCTGTTTTAAGTGAATGGCGCAGCGCCAGACATCGAGAAAGGTTTTATGAGGTCATCTTTTGTCGACTGAGGATTGGCCACACACACTTGACTCACAGTTACCTTTTAAGAAACGACGACCCAGCGATGTGCTACTACTGCTCAGAAACCCTAAGTGTACTTCACATCCTTTTAGTATGCCCACAATTTAATAACGAACGCCGCTCCTACTTTCCTATCTTTTTCAGAAAACAAATAGCTTTCCACTTGCCACTTTTGCTTGGAGACGAGCCTGTTACTCCGTACAGACAAGTTTTTAACTTTTTAGAAAAGTTTAATATTTTACATCGACTTTAAACTACAGTTTTTTTTAAAGTGATATTTGATATTTTGATCCACTGCAATAATAAACATTTAGTCTCGTGATATTTACTTACCCTGTGTTTGGCGCACTATGGCCTATTTTGCTGCTGCGCCAGAAAACTCCAAATTCATTCATTCATTCCTTCCTGTGGCCGCTTCTACAAGCTCCCAAAAATTCATAAAGCCGGCAACCCAGGTCGACCAATCGTGTCAGGATCACGTGCAATAACTGAACCGATATCGGGATACTTAGACAGTTTAATCAAGCACATACCCTTAACTTTGGACTTTTATATCGAAGATCCTACCCACTTGACAGAAATTTCTGATTTGCGTGTACCGGAGAGGTCGTATCTCGTCAACCTTGGCGTATCATTTCTCTACATCAATATCCCGTATGACAACGGAATAGCCTCTCTAATTGAAATATACGAGCAACACAGACAAATAGACACCCCTAATAGTCACATAATGGCCCCCCCACGCACCTGGTCTTAGAACTGAACTCATTCGAATTCAACAAAGAATAGTATAGGGAAGTTAACGGCACTGCGATGGGTACTAAGATTGCACCTTATTATGCCAACATATTTATGGGTAAACTGGAGACCAAATTCTTCTCTGACTGTTCTTTACAACCACTAATCTACGAGAGGTTTATAGCTGACGTTTTTCTTATTTGGCCGCACACAGAAGAGAAGCTGCTAGAGTTTATAAATCAGTACAACACTGTACATCCAACCATTTGCTTCATTCCCACGTATTCTCAGACCAGTATCAACTTCATACCACTGTAATATTAAGAAAAGGCAAGCTTAGAACTAATCTTTATCGTAAGCCAACAGATCGGCAAAAATATCTTCACTACAAAGGCGACTATCCACGTCTTTGTAAGAATAGTATACCCTACAGCCAGGCCCACCGCTTCAAACGTGTATGCTCATGGCAAGAGGACTTCCAATTGAGCTCTCATCATCTAAAGAACGCACTGGAAAAACAAAAATGTCATCCGCGAGTCATTAACGACGCAATTCAAAAAGCTGCCCAACTAAACCACGCTGACCTCATGGAGGACCGTCCCCCTCAGTGCAACGCGCAGTGCACGAATTTACGTCTAACCTATAGTATGAATTTACCCAACGTAAATAATATTTTAAGGCGACATTATAATATTTAAGAACAAAGCGAACGCCTCAAACGTGCATTCCCATGAGCTCCCGGGGTAATTTACAGATGATAACGGAACCTTAGAGGCAGCCTAGTTAATTCCCGACTGAATCCATCCCAACCAAACAACAGATGCCGACTGTGCATGAAAGCAGAATGCCTCGTCTACAAACAAATGCGAGAAACTAACAAGGCCAATAGCCCACCTTCAAAGTTCTCAATAAAAATCCGAGGGCAGCTTACATGTGACTCCTGAAATGTAATCTATCTGCTACAGTGTGAGGTGTGCAAAAAACAATATATAGGACAGACCGAGACAGCGTTTAGCCTACGTTTTAACAATCATAGATCGCACGCAAAATCCCTGCCCAGTCTGCCAATTTCAAAACATCTCAGCCTCCAGGACCACACATTCGATAAATTATCTGTTACCCTTTTAGAGTCTGGAGTCAAATCAAATCGGGAACGCGAACAACTTGAGTCATATCTTATATACCGATTGAACACAATAAAAAAAAATAGAAACCCGAGAACACTTGCATCGTTTGAGGCGCTATCGAATAAATAGTATGATAACGACCATACATAGTGAACCATTTGGACCTAGAATTTCATGGTACTGAGTTTGGAGCTAGAACTGGACAGTGCGGTTTCGTTACTTTATTGTGTTGTTTAGTTAATTCCCGTACATCCTGTATTTCCGTACCTCCTACTACATTTGATGTGTCACCTGTGTATTTGGCGACCTCCGTGGGCGGCTTCCCCCGACTTAGATTTCGTCCCTTACTTTGTATTCTCCGTACGCAGTTTCTTTTTATGCGAAGTGTGTCATTCGGTTCGTCACATACTCTCCTCCTCGCCTTTTTTGTTGTTGTTATTTATGTATTTTTTTACCTCCGTGTGCGGTTGCCCCCGACTTCCTTTCTTTTGTTCATCCCTCCTTTTGTGTGAGATTCTGGGTCGTGTATCCTTATTTGTTCTCCTTACGCAGTATCTTTGTATGCGCACTCTCTCCCCTCTAAAAACTGTATAAATAAAACCACATTTTTCTTGTAACCCTATTCTGGACGAAGACCTGGTCGAAGTATCGAATAAAATCCTCCTAGTTTTTCTACCGTCACCCTGCATCTCTCTCTCTCTCTCTCTCTCTCTCTCTATATATATATATATATATATATATATATATATATATATAAATAATGCGACTTATAGAGGGGTGCGACTTAAGGCCCGTTCACACTGTTGCAACCGAGAACGACCGAGAGAGACGAGACTTGTTGAAACCTCTTAAAATTTCTTAGGACGAGAGAACACACTGGCACGCTGGCGCCACCTATGCGGTGACCCTGGAACTGCATTTCACAAGAGCGAAGGTTTTGCGGTATTCCCGAGGTTAAATGCGCGTAATACCTATAAGAAAGGTTCGTTTATAATGTTGACAAAAGTTGTTCGAGCCAAGAAAGAAAGGATAATAAGGAAAGGATAAGGCTATGAAAGAAGGGATAATAAAGAAAGGATGAGGCCAAGAAAGAAAGGAGAGAAATAGAAAATATGCCGGATTGCCAAGTTTGCACTGCTACCCAAAAGACGGCGCCAGTGTGTCCTCTCGTTGTAAGAGGTTTCAAGGAACCCAATTTTAAAAAGTCGCAAGAGTGTGAATGGGCCTTTATACACAGATTTTGTTTGTTAAAACGGCCGTTTGTAGCAGGGCACGCCTTATACAACGGTGCGACTTATAGACCGGAAAATTGGGTCATATGTTATGAACCACGAAATGCTTTTTAAAGCTACTCCCCACTCCCAAAATGTTTTTCCGTCCGTCCGTCCGTCTGTCTGTGCATTTCCCCGCTAAATTTAACGGGACAATTTATGTCACGGGACCCGACGGCACGGGACATACACACCAATTCAATTTCCACTCAGTTTCCCCGTTAAATTTAGCTGGAGAATTCACGTATTGTGGCCAAAACGTCGATTTAGTTACCCCGCTATATTTAGCGGGAAATTGACGTTACGTTGCCTATACACAATTTCGGTTACACGACAAATTTAGCGGGTAACTTACATACGTCACGTGATGCACCAATTCCTTCCCCAATTCCCTTAATGCATTCCATGCATCAGAACAGTGGTTCTCAAATGGGGGTCCGCGAAGCCCTGCCTCCTTAGTCAAACCCAGCGATAAAAGTTGTCTTCTCTCAGATTGAGAAGAAATGTTTCAATTTTCGGGTGCGTTTTCTCGTGTGTAGGTAAACAAGAGAAGTTTCCTTCACACTAGCCCTTTGTTATATCCATTTATTAAATCGCTATCATAATTAACCTATATCTTTCCCTTCTCTCCACGAAAGGGGTCCTCCTTCATCTCCGCCGATCCACAAAGGGTCCGCGAAACATCAATGGTTGAGAACCACTGCATTAGTGGTAAAGTCTGAGGGTAAAAGTCGCTGCCAATTTTGTTTTTAGATCATTATGTGAGTATGCGCACGCATGCGAAAGCCGTTCGTTAGGACCGCCATTAGGTACGACACACTACAAATCAAATGTAAACAGGCAACTAAAATGCGTCAAATTGCATGTGCAGCTGGGGTTTAAAAGAAAACAAATAAAAAGACACGTTTGTTATGTAACCAGGCAGGGGCGGCAACGGTGTTTCTGTGCCGATCTGATGTCAAAAAAAAAAAAATAAAGGGGTGGGCGATCCTTTCGACGTGTTCCGAGTGGATAGCCGTTGTAAGATCCCTGCACAATACACTTTTCATCGGACGGTCAACGTTCGAGCTCAACATGACAGTGAACCGTGACCTTTTCCTATTTCTCAAATCGTACTCTTCTGGTGCTGCGGTAAGCCAACTTGTTGATATTAACGCCGTGCTTTTTTTTTTCCTTCGAGCTCATCTTTTTAAATACCTTGGAAATAAGCGGTTCGTGCTTTCATAACATCCGTACCCAACCCTTTCGCCCCCTTTTATTTATATATAAATTGATCCTTTTATTTAGTTATAAATTGATTCTTTATTTAAGCTGGGCCGTAAAACAGAAGAGTCTGTGTTGGTGCGTATTTACGTGAGTAGTAAAGAGTGAGAGGTCAACGTAAAAGTATATTTTAAGTTCAAATCTGATGAAGTAGAGAAGTTACTTTCCTGATCGTCGAACGTTTGTGGCGTTCGACAGTCGAGCAAGCTCCGGTCACTAAGTCACGAGTTGACTTGCCGGTGCCGAGAGCGACGCTTCCGGACGGGCGATGTCGAACTACGACGAAACTCCTAGATTTAAGCCAGAACCACATAGGGCGTATTTGCGACGTATTTGCGGGCGTTTTGGCGGGCGTAATCCCGACGTAGAGCGGGCGTCGGGACGAGCGCTTCTTCGGTCGGCGTAAATACGCGCGTATTCGGCGATCCGACCGAGACAGATCTCGGCACTTCGGCGTATTTCGGCGTGGCGCACCCGGAAGCGTACAGCGCGGTGCCGGCCAATCAGCTCCCGAGTTGACAGCCAGAAGTTGCTCGAAGTTCGGCTTGCCTGGATATGTGGCCGGCTGGGTGGCTTGACTCAGCCGCCGAAATGAGAGCTCGCTAGGCGTGTTCGACAGTTTATTGGAGAACTGTACGAAATCGCTATATCTCTTTGGAACGAGCGATAAACGACTCAGACAGAAGAAAGTACTATCTATGTTGCGGGCTATGTGAAAAAAAATTATAAAAGAAAGAGTTTTGAGCAGAGATCGCGACTGTCCTCCTGCCGGGAGTTGTTGGCAACTTGGTGATCGCAAGGAACATTTATGAAACAGGCGTTAGCGAATTAGGCTTTCGTGGCTGATTAACATTTAGTTATTCGTGCCCTTTTGCGGAATACAATAATATAGCACCCGATCTACATTTGGTCTCCTTTCATGAAAGGCGCGAGTCGGGCTGCTGAACGCCGAGAAGACCGAACGCCGAGAAGACGTCGACGAAAAGCGCCGTGTGTGGTTTGGCGAGCTCCCCTTCTTCATTTTGTGAAAAAAGCGCCCGCCAAATCCCGTGACCACGCTCGCTGAAACGCGCGTAAATTCGTCAAGAATACGCCCTACGTGGGTCGGCCTTTATGTTGGTCAGACCGCCCCAAATTTGCGTATTTACGCCGACCTTGAAGTGTCAAGAAGGAGCTTGCCCTGACGCCAGCTATACGTCAAGAATACGCCCACTTAACGCGCATAAATAGGTAGAGATTGCGTCCCATGGTGGTTCGGCCTTATAGCTCAACGATCTTGCTGAAACAGAATCGAAATAAATTTAACAAACGCCTTTTAGTTCAGTTGTACAGATAGGTTGTACAAGTTCTGCATGCACTAATTCTTGTTCAAGTTGTACATGTACACATAGGAATTCCACACTTATCATTTTGTTTATGGTTACTTGCATAAATTTTTATAACGTATAGTATAGCCAGTAATCCAGAAAATATGAATATATACGACGCTTTACTTTACAGCATATATATATACCAATAGCCTCTTTCGTCGAGTACACAAATGTGATGAGTTAGCATCACGACATTCCTTAACAAAGAAACACCCTACGCTACAGCACGTCCTTTCAAAAGCAAAATAGACAAAGTTGTTCTCGTTTTTTCCTTCAAGGGGATACTTCGAAAGATATCAAGCGTAGGACACAGAACGCTTGGGCACAGGGTCGGTTCAACCGCGGCCAAAGTCATCGCAGTGTCCGCCACCTTTGCTCTACTCCTAATCAGCCTCTACGCAATCGGTGCCTTCGCAAAGCTACTGGAAGAGCCCTACACGAATTTCTTATACTACCCAGAGGTGGACGCTGGCGAAATTCTACGTCTATTCAAAGCGGGTAAAGAGCCGACCTACGGCGTCCTCAATCCATACGAGCGCTACGTCTTCACCATTCGCAACGAGGGCAGGTGCTACACCCTGCAAGAGAAAAGATCAAACATGACTCTGCTCTTGGTCGTCAAGTCGGCCCTGAATCATCGTTCCCGACGGGACGCCATCCGCCAGACCTGGGGACAGGAGTACCGCTTCCCTGGCGTGGCTCTCCGACGCGTGTTCATGGTCGGAGTGGACAGCAAGGACCCCAGCGTACAGGACGCCTTGAACTCCGAGCAGGCAATCAACGGTGATTTGGTGCAAGCAGAATTTGAAGACACATACTTCAACAACACCATTAAGACGATGTTGTCCTTCCGTTGGATCCTGGAGCAATGTCCCAACGTTCATTGGTTTCTCTTCGTCGACGACGATTACTACGTGTCTGCGAAGAACCTAATCGAGTTCGTTAAAGACAAGGACGGTTCCAGTGAACGGCTTTGGACGGGATTTGTGGTCGAGTCCCTCAGACCTCAAAGGCACCTATGGGGAAAGTGGTACTTGCCCCTGTCCGAGTACCCGTACTCTCACTTTCCTTCTTACGTGAACGCGGGGGCGTACGTGCTGTCAAGGTGCTCGCTGATTGATCTGTATCGCGTTGCGCGATTCACACCGCAATTCCGCTTCGATGACGTCTTTCTGGCAATCTTGGCAAAGAAGATTGGTTTGGAGCCGCGTTACAGCAACAAGTTTCGCTACTTCATCGAGCCCAGAACAGAGGAGGACTTCGCTGGACTTGTAGCCGCTCATGGGTTTCATGACCCAGTTCGACTGGTCAAAACATTGGAGTGGCAGAGAAGACTCGGCCAAGCTTGAAGAAGGAAGACCGTGCGTTTATACGTGACGGGAGGTTATGTCTTGTATTTCACTTGGTAGATAGCCGCATACGACTGATATTGTTTTTAGCTCTGTGTGCCTCATGAACTGAGGTAATGAACAAATAAATATTTTTAGCAGCATAAAATGCTGTGTAACTTAACCCTCTAAAGCTAAAAATGTGTAAATGTTTCCGTCCGTCCACCCGATTATGTATCTCCCCGCTAAATCTAGCAGAAATATTGACGCCACGGAGCCTGACGTTAAGTCATGTGACATAACGTAACATTAGGTCACATGACGTGCGGTGTCGAACATAGCGTTGCGTGACGTGTGGTCACTGGCGTAAGTTCCTCCACTAATTTAGCAAGGAAATTGTCGTCACGTGACCTGCCATGCATATAGGGCTTTGGAGATCATCAAGGTCGCTGGCAATTTTTTATTGTAACATCTCCGGTGATATAATTGAAATAAAACATTCCATGCATATGAAAGGAATTGAACCTATTTTTTTTTCTCCAGCTTTAGATAGTAAAGTAATGAATTGTGGATGTTATTTTTTATGTTTTGTATTGTTGTTTATGGGACTGGATCCGCTGAAAAAGGTCACAGATGGCTCTTGCACTGGTATTTGCGCGTTTCTTGATCTGGTACACTCTAAACAGCTAGAAAAACAAATTAGTGACTAATATTAAAGATTTTGAGTCATTTGGTGTTTACAAACTATATCGGCTTCAAATGGTTGATTGATTAGTGAGTTTTTACGCAACCGCCACATGACCATCCTGCGCCAAACATAACTATTAACCCGAAACGTTCTTCGGCTACGTCTTCGGCAGCTCAAAAGTGAAGCCTGGTTAAAAGCGTGGCCGCGAGGCTCGACACCACTTGGTTGACGGGTGGAAGAGGAGAATCGAGGTGCTGGACGCTGATTGGTTAATGGGGAGGTTATGGGACCAGAGGGGTTGGCGAGGAAGAGCTCAATCACCTGTGCGCACTGAGGGAGAGGAGCTCGATAGTATTCAAGGTTCTGGAAGATCGCCAGTTTTATCAGGCCGATTGACGGTAGTATTACTTAATTCTAGGAACAACTATCAAGTGTACATAGTGTACGCGTTAAACTATCTGGTGAAGAGGGCCGTAAACGTATGTATCTGGCGGTTGGATACTCAGAGCATCGCTAAACGTTTGCGACACTAGAACGCCTCACGCATGCGACACTAATTCCTAACAGTCTGCCGTACATTTTTTTTAACACAGCAAAGAACTGGAAATTGTTATAAAATGCATAAGCCAGTTGAGTGGAAGACAAAATGCTAAGGAAGGTACATTGATATCTAGAGAACTTGCGCAATAAAAAGTATTATGGTGGAGAAGCTAGAATTTACGCAAAGGACTTGTTTTCTCATGGAACGTGACAACACGGTAAGGCGGAATTAGCGGCTTTTCATCAAGCAGAAGTGCACGGTGAAATAAATTACTGTACCGCAAGAATGCTGAAAAGGAAGAGTGTCTTTGTTGAGCAAGGCCAAAGCAGGGACCAAGAACATACCAGACCGTCAAAATAGGACCATAGTGACTGCATAGTGGTAGATCTGCCCATTCTGCAAGCACCCATTCAAGCATAGTTTTAATGTTAAAGATTTAGATAGAGTTCATGATTTTAAATCCATTCAAGTATACTTATAAAGTTCAAGTTGTCCTATTTACAAGTATTTACAAGCTTCCATGAGTGATATATGGATGGCCAGGCCTCAAGGTATACAGCGCAAGACCTTATGAGACCAGGTTTTACGGGAAGAGCTTTCCCATGCTCCTAAAACCGGCTGGATAGGTGTAGCTTATTAGAGAGAATGGGAGGCCCCAAAGCTTGGGGAACCCAAAGAAATAGGGGCTCACCACTGCGCATGCGCAGAGCCCAAACTCAGTTTGAGGTTTTGGGTTGGCGCTCGCCCAAAACGGGAAATTCGAGAAATAGCGTGGGGCCCCCAATAGACTACCTCCATAAATCCCTGCATACAACACGGCGCGCGTTGCACTCTGGGAACTAGTTGGCCAGGGAGTAGAGTGGCATGGTTTCGGTTTCGATCGACACGTCGGCAAGAGATTATACACAGATCGTATCTCATGTTTTCTGGTCCCGAGGCAGTGGCGCAGGCAGAGGGGGGGGGGGGGGGGGGCCCCCCCCCCCCGAAATGCCAAATGCCAAACCTGGGGGGCGGGGGGGGGGGGGGGGGGTGCTGCTGGCTCTCCTGCACAGGCAGTCTGTTTTGCGCGGGGCATGGAGCAAAGGGGGAGCGTGGACTATCTCCAACTTATATGTTTTTGGGAAGAGTGTTTGTGGGGTGGAAACTGCTCAAATAAATAAAACAGGCAATATTCATTCATTCATATATATTTAATGGGATGCGGAACTTGATCTCAGATATATAGAGAACGGATATTTTGAAACACTTGTGGGGTGAAGGATGGCAATTATAAGGCCAAGTATAACAAACTATCCTCACTAAAATACACAGTTCAATCAAACCAAAGCGAACATAATAAAATCAGAATTACGTGCTTTCGACTAAGATTATTAATAAAGAGTTTATTTCCGTCGTATGTTGATGGTGGCGATCAAGGAAAAAGCTGTGTGGCACAGCTTGACAAGTCCTTGACTAATGAACGAAAAAAAAAAACATTTACAAATCTTGATTACCCCAATTTAACAAAGCGTGTTTCAAACATAATATATTTTATTATCGGCTATAACGGGAAAGTGACCTATTTGCAGACAGAAGTTATGAGATTCCAAAAGTTAAGTTCATACTCTGATTCATTTATGGAAAAACTTAGTCAAATTTCTCAAAGAGACAATGTACTGAATTCCAATCTTTTATCTTCAAATACGTTAAGTATTTCTGGGGTAGTATGTTTAGGCATTTGCGTGCTATAGTTCGTTCTTGCAGTGACCACCTCCCCACAATCCGCACGACGGGTAGAACACGCGTGAATATTTTGAGAGAGCTGTCCAAGGTTTATCAAAACGTTTGAACTCCTAATTTGTTCTAGTTTTAGATTAGTCACACGTCTATAGCTAAGTAGAGCATGTATATTGATAACGCGAAACTTTTTAAATAAACTAGCTGCGTGGAAGCCAAATGGAACCACTTCTATAGCCCTTAACGCTTCTTGTTTTTGCAATAAGTGCATTTTTTTACATTCGTTGAGTTTGTTGTACTTTACGCTGAATTACAATACTTTATGCGGGATTAAATAAACGACTTGTTTATTATTAATTTCACCTTTGCTGGTAACACGTACCGGTGGCGGTTTATCACACCTACTACTCATGACAGCTTAGAGACAAAGGTTCTTGACATGACTATCCCATGACATATTCTCAGTAAAAATGACACTTAAGAGGTTGAAAGAGTTTACAATCTCTATTTTAAACAACTTCAAAACGATATCTCTTGTAATTGTGACTAGCTTATGTTTTGGGCGAAAAAGTACTGCTTTTGTTTTTTCTATGTTGATTTGTAGTGAATTAATACGACTCCAAGTTGCCAATGCAGATAACGCCTGATTTGCCATGTCAAATAGCACATCGACATTTTCAGCTGAACAAAAGCTAACTAGTGTCGTCGGCATAGCTGATAAATGTTGCACCAGAGTTAATATTTACGATATCATTAACTTAAATATTGAAAAGACAACGACCTAATATACATCCCTGTGGAACAAAAGTAAGAATACGTTTCTTGTTTGACGAATATCCATCAATGTACCAAAACTAATTGCATTCGATGCTGTAAGTAAGACTTCAATCAGTTCAAACCATGCCCTCGAATCCCATGTATATCCAATTTTGCTAGTAAGATTTCATAATTGAATCAATCAAAAACCTTTGAGAAGTCTATGAGTGCTCTAAAAACAATTGTTTTTCTTCAAAATTTTCAAGATGAATTCTTTCTGGACGAGCAGTGCAGCCTCGGTAGATTTATGCTTTATAAAACCAAACTCATACCAAGTTATGCTTAGTTCAAAAAGTAGTTATACGTGTATCAAGTACCTTTTCAAGTGCTTTAGAAAATATTGGCAATATAGAAATCTGTCTGTAATTACCCATAACATTTACACTCCCCTTTTTGTGTAGTACTGACACTTTTGCTATTTGCATTCGTTTAGAAAAAAACACCAGTCATCAAAGAAAGATTAAATAAATGCGTTAGCACTGACGCTAGTAAATGAACAACATAATTACCAGGCCTTATTTGTAAACCATCCACGTCACAAGCTCCGCTTTTCTTAAGTTGTAAAATCACATTAATGACCTCAGGTTCTACAACCGGATCTAAAAAAAATCGAGCTGCTGTTTCTATCATCAAAAACGCAATACTTTGCAGTAACAATCCCGCTTGCAATATTCACAAAATGCAGGTTAGAAGCGTTCACCAAAGAAAATTCGGTTAGTTCAACAGCGTTACGCACTATTTTATTTATTGAATTAGATGAACGGTTTCGACTTAAAATAGAATTTTAACTCCTTCCACGCGAAGTCCGTACACCCCTCTGCTGCCTTGAACACCCCTACGTAGTACCGTTCTTTAGCACGCTCTAAATTACCACAAAAAAAAGTAACTGCAACTAGTTATTTCAGAAAGCAATTTACAAGCTTTCTTGATCATTTAATTTATACCAAGCGCCTACATATTAAGATGCAGCCGCCTGCGTTCACGGCAAAAGAATATCCAGGATGTCCACCTCTTGAACTTCGATGTCGCGGTGAACATTCAAAAGCGCTAAACCGAGAAGTCGCTCATTCGAAGTGCACGCTCTCAGGTATGTTTTCAACCGTCGTAGTGAAGAAAATGAGATCTCGGTTTCCGCCGTTGTTACGGACAGAGTCGCTAGGATCTTGAGGAGATGATGAACGTTTGGGAATAGGGCCTCCGGACAGAAGGCGACCGCCTGTAGCGCACACGTGACGGGCGTTTCACGTTTCTCCGTCCTGC